ATCTCTTCTCCTTCCACTGTTCTAAACCCTCTATTCTTCCACATCCCTCCAAAGGCATGAAATACTCCAAAGGCATATCTGGAGTCAGTAAAAATGTTGGTTTTCTTTCTGTTCCCCAACTTCAAAGTTCTTGTGAGGGCATTTAGTTCGGCTTGCTGAGCTGAGGTGCTGGGAGAGAGGGGTTTAGCCTCCACTACCTCCCATTCTGTTACAACTGCATATCCTGCTCGCCGAAGCCCATCTCTGACTATGCTGCTCCCATCAACAAAGAATTCGCAATCAGTGTGGCTAATGGGGACATCCCTCAAGTCCCGCCTGCTAGAGAATTCCTGATCTATAGTCTGAATGCAATCGTGTAAAATCGGATCACTGTTTGGCTGTGGTTTAGGGAGTAAGGTAGCTGGGTTGAGACAATTACTGGTCACCAATCATAACTCTGGGCTATCCAATAAGGCTGCCTGATATTGCCCTAACCGGGCATTGGAAATCCACAGACCCCCTTTTTGCTCTAACACCGTTGCCACGGCATGAGGCACCTGAACTGTAATTGGAGCACCAAGGGTAAATTTCCCTGCCTCCTTAGAGAGTGATACGGTATCTGCCACTGCTCGAAGGCATGTTGGCCAGCCTTTTGCCACCTCCAATTGTTTTGAGAGATAGGCAACCGGCCTCCGCCAGCTTCCGATCTGCTGAGTGAGGACCCCCAGGGCCATTCTGTTCCTCTCATGCACAAACAGCTCATATGGTTTTTCCGGGTTGGGTAAGCCTAAGGCAGGCGCCGAAAGAAGCTTTTCTTTCAGTACTTTGAAAGCCCATTTCATTTCAGGAGTTGCCTCAACCCGTTCACCTGGTCCCTTCAAAGCCTCATATAGAGGTTTTGCAATCATGGAATAATTTGGGATCCAGAGTCTACAAAACTCCGTCATTCCCAAGAAAGTTCTCCACTGCCTCTTTGTGTCTGGTAGGCCCACCCGGAAAACGGTTTCCTTTCGTTCCTGGCTTAATTGTCGTTGTCCCCTGGAAAGTACAAATCCCAAATAAACAATTTCAGTAAGCGCAATCTGTGCCTTGCTTTTTGAAACTTTGAATCCTTCATATCCCAAGAAGTTTAAGAGACTTACCGTGGCCAGTTTGCACGAATCTTTGTCCAAGGTAGATATCAAAATATCATCAACATACTGAACCATTCGGCACTCTGTCGGTGGAGTCCAATCCCGAAGGATGGGACTTAAAGCTTCTCCAAAGAGGGTGGATGAATTCTTCCACCCCTGTGGAAGGCATCGCCAGGAATACCTTCCAAAGGGGATTTCCTCACAGCCAGGAATTGCTTCCCATGTAAAAGCAAAAATTTTCCAGGATGCTTCATCAAGA